AGATACTATGTGCGCAGTTAATTAAACTAGGTCCCAAACCCGCACAGAGAGTAAAAAATAAGTAAACGTAGGTTTACACCGGTTTTGAATCTTCAATTTTTTAAATGCTGGATCGAAATTCCCGTAATTAACATTTGACAGAGCATTCAGTACTGGATATTAATTAAGAAAATGGCTATTTGCTGAGTGTGTGTGTGTGAGGGGGGAATGGGGGTCGATTTTCTCACAAGCTTACCGTTTCCTTGCGGAAAGGGATTGCAATCATTTTACGTTCTCAAGCATGTATATATTTCAGACTCCTTGAAATCTTGAATGTTGGAATGCTCTTTTGTAAGTGTTTTCTGTTCCTAATTGTTAACTGCAGAGGGGTTCGTTTGAAGAAGAATAACTGTGTGTGTTTGTGTGAGGTTTTAAACAATTTTGAAAGGATCAGGGATTTTTTCCGGCTACACTTTCTTCCTCACATGAACCAGCCAAAACTGTACTGATTAAATACCAAACATTTCCCCGCTTTATTAGCTAGTATATTATTGGTAATGCTCACAGTAAAATTAATTATATCGCGCAAAAGGTAATGGAATAATTTGGTTCAGAATATTACATTATTTTGCGATCCTGAGACTTTGAACGAACTTATATTGGACAAAATTAGGCTGAAGGGTAAAAGACTCCATCGGAATAGTTTATTTTTGATCACCAAAAAATCATTCAAGAGTGAATAACCAGTACACAAAACAGGTCTTGTTGTTCCAGAAGTGTTTACCCTTAACGAAGGAGAAATGAGTATTTGTCATCTCTGTTTAATGCACGTGAATTTGATTGTACCGGGAAGCGAAAAATCAAGACAGATAGCCAGAAACGACCAACGGATAGTCGAACATTGGATCCTAACATAAACACCTGTCGCGTAGTCCGACTGACCTTTGGAGAACCGCTGAAGGTTTTGCAGCCAGGTTCCTCTATATACTGGCGATCACAAGAAAAATACCACTCTTTGATTGAGTATAAAATCTAGTCTTCCGAGACTTAAACTCTTTATCTTTCACGTAGGTAGTACTTTAAGTACTGGCGTCGGTGGCCTTGTGGTTATTACGCTAGTGGTTAGGCAACCGGACTCGTTATCGTGAGGTACTTCCTGTGCACATGAGAAATTGTTTCAGAACAATCTCAAACGGTAAGACAATAATTTCCTAAAGTTTTACTCGTCAGCAGGTATACTGTTCGTCGCTGACTAGGATTTCAAGATTGAAACCTATAATATACAGACTGCATTTTCATCTAAAACATCGTCAGGCTAGAATGAAATAGTCGCAGCGACACCGCCGATCGACACATTATTTCTTCTCGGGTGATTTTCAATTCCAAGTTGATCGCCATGATGGGAGTAGAAAACAGTACAGAAGACCACATGAGCACAATCTGCCTTTACTTCAGTAACACAATCAGCTCATAACATTCCAACAGGACAATGCACCCGAGTAACGTTCACTACACTCGGAATTAAATTCGTAACTGTCCAGAATAACACAGATGCAGTGGATCTAAAGCCTGCCATTTCACCAGATTTTAACCCAATTGAGCACCTGTGGGACAGAATTAACTGTGTTGCTCTTGACTTGAATCCCGGTCCCAGAACCATTGTACAGCTCATAACTGACTGTGCCTGATCTACAACAGGGAACTGCTGATTTTTCTTTCCTAATCCTTACTATTGTCATTTTCCTCTACTTCTTTTGT